CAGCATTTAGGAATGATGTAATGGGACAGATTAACCATAAGAAGACATGCCAGTCTGATCCGTACTCTCTGGGGACCCTTGAATAGCCGGGAATAGACTCCTCCCACCCCCGCCTAGAGTATGTGCTCTTCCGGTTCTTTCTGCCATCAGCGGCCTTCAGTAGCGGAGTCCCAAAGCTAATTTACCAGTTATTTTCCGTACTGCCCCCGCGTCGAATATCAATGAAACGCGGTGAGCATTTCTTCATTGTGTAATGGATGCCCTGCCAGATCCAATTTAGTCGTAATGCAGTGATAAATGGTCGTGTGGAGTTCGTAATAGGAGCAGTGTTCCAGGTCGTAGCGAAGGCAGTGTGGTGGGTTGCTGCCGTCTTGCTCATCGTCGACACTCGATCGGCACCAGGCAAAACTGTTGCAGGAGGCACCAGGCATGGCGCCCTGGCTTCTTCGATTTGCGGTCTTCGCACTCAGCTGTTTCTTGTGCCAACAAGGTAAGATTTGTTACTATACATATCCCTCGCGACCAGAGGTTTTGTCCATTCTGTCCCAATGATATTGAAGACGAACAACATTTTATTTTGAATTGTACACTGTATAACGATAAACGCACAAAGCTGTTCAACCTTCACTCCGCCTGCTCAACAGAATTTGTTACATTTCATGCTATAGATAAATTCAAGTTCATCCTAGAAGGCAATAACCCTTACTGTGTACAAATAGGTAAATATATCAATGTTTAGACCTTAGAACAAGTAGTATTAGTTGACCCATCTATTGTTTTGTACGTAGAATATTTTCGTTGTACCCATGTATATTTGTCTGTATATCTACATGTCTTAGACCTTACGAAATTCGCTGTACTCTTTTGTGTCAATAAAGTTCTATATATCAGCACTGAGCTTTTAACTACTGCCCATCTACGACTTACCAGGTTAATGTGGATGTTTCATATCTGTATGCATATGTGTAACGTTATAGATTATATGAAAAAAAAATAGTTGGGTCTTTTCTTCTGGTTGATTTTTGCTTGTGATGTCTTGTGCTACATGTCCATGGAATGTAGCAATGATAAAAAAAGATTGAATTCAACCCAGAATTGAAAACGTGAACTCTGAATACAATAATGTACATCATGTATATGCTGTTTTATATCAGACGTTGTTCATTGTCTTTATCTATTGTCTTTAGCTACAGAAAAATCACGTGTGTGGAATGCAAGTAACCCAAAACACATAGTGGATTCTTGTGACTTAGTACATCGTTGAACATTTATGCTTCTACAAAAGAAAGCATTGTTAAATTCGCATGACATAATTAGAAATTTGAAAAAAAAAACTGTCTTGCCTTTGTTGTTGTCTTGTACACAATGCAGTGTACAAGACTTAAAAGAACATAAGAAAAGATATTTTATCGCCCTCGAGGGATTTTCAAAACCCTCCTGTACTTATTTACATTACTAAAGAAACAAACAACCTTATCTGTTGCTCAATTTGTACCGGTATCCCACAACACGACCGTAATCCTTTTGAACTTCGATAACATTTTGTGGTAAGATATCTGTAAAACAGAAGTCTAATACGGCACTAGTGTAACGGTTATTACACTAGCATATCTCGTCGTAAAAATATCATTCTGGATAAGCGCATGGCAAGAATGATCTGTTTACCTTTTACGAAATTCTTTGATACAAGTAGTTTTGAATCAGTTAAACCACTCACTTTGAGGGACTACGAGATCATAGTTTCGGGCTAAAGAAAAAGTGGGATACGGCTAGGATGCCCCATGTGACAGCCACATGGGTCTATGCTGTTAATTGACCCCTTAAAGAGGATGATTGCTATAATAGGCTTAAAAGGCAAGAGATCTTATAAAGATAAGTGGGAAACTGGCTATAAAGGATCTACATCTGTCTCATGGTGTTGGTCTACTAGACACAATGATGAGCACATTTCTAACGGATTTTACACAGGACACACATGTACGAGACATGTACAAGAAGATGTGAATAGCATAATGAATCGTATCAAGTTACCACATCGTCGTAACCCAGCGATAACCTTTGAACTATTAAATACTGACTGATACGTTCATGTATTCCCAAGGGAAATCATATATGTGTGCTTACATTCACGGATGTATATAAATATATATTGTGTATATGGTTTTGTCTTTGTATTACTGGCAAAGCTGTCGAATGAAGAACTTGACATTCCATTTTGTTCTGGATAGAAAAAATAGCTTATAAAAACGCGCAAAGATTTAGCCAGAATGCATTAGATGATCCGTGATCCAGAAATAAACGATACTACAATAAACCTAATTACACGATTCGTAACATACTATTGGATTGGCTAACCTACTTTACACAAAAACGAGATTACGTACTTGAAAACCTATCCTGCAAAAAGTGGATTCCTTGCCCAGTGGGTTGTCATCCGAGTGTTCTTTTGTTGGATTTATATAGGATCTTAGCTCTAAGTGCACCGTATTTTGTATCAGTCAATTTCCTTTTGTCCTATTTAATTACCCCCCTTTGAAGTTCCCGTTGAAGTCGATTTCATAGACTGATAATCTTGTCAATCGCCTTAATGGTACAGACGGTAGAGAGAGTCTCGTGGGTAATATTGCTGATTGCTTTCTTTGTCTGGTTCGATAGCCTAGAACGCTGAGCTGATTGAAAACTAATGGGCCTGAAAATATAGGATTTACGGAAGGCATTTGAGGTCTTTGAAGAATACAATAGTCAAAGTTTATTGCAAATACTTGCCCGAGGGCTAATTGCAGTTACAAACAACATAAGAAAGAAAATACAGTGGTATGTGAGACTATATCTACGTCTAGCATTATACTATATTCTACAACATACATGGTACTAGTTTACTGGGTTTGACTTCTTCTTTTTAGGCAATGGAAGACGAATGTACCCACCTCTTCTATAATATGTGGGTTCTTTGAATACATGGCTTTAGAGAATGAAGGTAGTTTCCAGACATTTTGATAAAGAAACTGTAGCTATCATTCATCAAATTCATTGATGAATGGTTATTTTAGATCTATGATTTACAGCCTTGTAATAAAAACAGTTATTATTTGTAAAAAGCCCTAGGCGATACATTAAAGTGCCAACTATCTAGGTTAATATCAGTAGGGATCAGAACATAATATCTAGTTATCAAATATTCATAAGAAACACGTCTTCTTGGCAAGAACATCGCCGCGTCTGCGTCTTATTAAAACTTGTAGATCAATAAGGTATCCCAGTAGACGTTAAAGATCTACACAGGTGTACTGTACCGTTACCATTATAGATATATATAGTAGTAATCTTGCTGATGCTGCGTATAGTCAGCAAAACTTCAAGAGAAATAAATGAAGAAGAACTTTATTGCACGACAATTTGCACGACAATATTGCACACGGTACAATGTATGGCAAACTACATAAAGAGAGTAACAACAATAAAATAAGTGTGTTGAACAAGACCTAATGTCGAATAAAACCTAACAAATCTATATCATAATTATTCAAATAATAAGGGATAACACAAGTCTATGATAAAGTGTTACAATCGAGTGGGCTAATTACAAGTTTCGGATTTTTTTATAATAAAATTTCTAACAAAGCATTCCTTTTTATATCTACCTATTTTTGCGTTGTGGGAACCATTACATGTAAAGATATAATCAAATCTGTCTCCAATTCACCATCGAGACTCTTGAAATCTATTGTACTTGATTCGAGAAATGAAATAGCTTGTTACGTAAAACATCATATTTGGTACATTCCATAACAAAGTGATATGTGGTTGTGCCTACCGTGGCCTCAGAAAGTATTACTAATACAAAGCAAATATTGAGAACGCTGAAATAATGCATGGTAGCAAGATTAATTTTACAGAAGTTGCAAGCTCCCTAAACCTACCGACTTGAAACTTTAATTTACTCTGGAGCTGCGTAAAACATCATATTTGGTACATTCCATAACAAAATGAAATTCATTTTCTATATGCTTTGGACAAAATGGACAGAACCTTTGGTCAGGGGCTATATTGTAATATCTACCTGTTTCAATATTCAATTTATGTGTTTGCCTATGCTAATGTTTCATACGGAAGTGCATCGTAAGAACTTTGTCAATGAGTACTTTCCACAAGAGAGCTTGCACACTTTACAAAGTTATAAATTTTTGATCATGAAATATATCAGTGATTTCCCATCTGGTTAGATATGATGCTTGGAAGCTCCAGAGTAAATTAAAGTTTCAAGTCGGTAGGTTTAGGGAGCTTGAAACTTCTGTAAAATTAATCTTGCTACCATGCATTATTCCAGCGATCCGCGGTGCCTGGTAGAGGCTAGTCGGGGCGACAGGCACGCACTGCCGCCGCATTGCTTACGGGAGGCCAGGCGCGCGCTACCGAGCGGGGGATCAATGTATGCACGACGATCTGCAGGGGCCGCAGCGCAGGATCGTAAAAAATGGCCTAATAGCATACATAATAACACCTACATAAGACCTACACGAACCAGCGCCCACCCCAAAATTTCCAGTATGAAATAAAAATACCAAAATTTTATCGATCCTGTCAATAGTAGAATAATTTGCACTGCTGACAGGAAAAATCCTGTCAGCAGTGCAAATTATTCTACTATTGACAGGACGATTCTGTCAGCAGTGCAATATTTTCTGCTATTGACAGGACGATCCTGTCAGCAGTGCAGTATTTTCTGCTATTGACAGGACGATCCTGTCAGCAGTGCAATTTTTTCTGCTATTGACAGGACGATCCTGTCAGCAGTGCACTATTTTCTGCTATTGACAGGACGATCCTGTCAATAGCCATAGGCATCATTGTATTATAAAACTGTCAAGTCATATTTATGAAAACATGAGTGGGGCATTATTGAAAACGAATAAATCTTGATCATACACGAAAATACAGCCATGCCATGAGCCTCAGTGTTGGTGTGTACATTCTCATCTGTTGCTGCAAAAGTACGCTGGATGTCAAAGTACATCCAGCGTATGTATTTCTGAAAAAGGAATGTTTTAATACAAATCAAATACGTCTAACAATGTTTTATGAGCTCTGGTTACATTGTTTTTTTTGCAACAGACAACCTTAGGCCAAACCAATTTAATTTCTTGGTTAACGAATTATTCTAGTAAAATAATGGAGCGGGCGGGCGAAAAAATAAATAAAAACAGGCCTAGGCATCCTATTATGGCCCAAAATGGTACGATAGGACTGAGTCAACACACCAGGCTGGTTCAACATTTAAACAATGAATTTTGAACTTTTAATGATACCATTGCATTGAAAGATGGAATAACTGTAACAACTAGGATGAAAAGGACTGTTTCCAACTGTTCAGGGCAAAAAAATGAGCATTTTGCAGTTGATTCTGAATTCTTTTTCTTTTTTTGCAAATCAGAAAAAAATGAAGCGGGCGAATCCGTTAATCAAGAAATTAAATTGGTGTGGCCTTAATGTAAAGAAATGAAGCCATATTTCATATTTGTCTTATACTAAAGGGAGAACCCTTTTAACTCACAGCGGTTTCTAAATGAACATTGCATTTTGTTAATTTCTCACCCTTCAGAAGCCCAGTGTCTAGACGAGGTGTTACGCCTCCGTTCCAGCCTGTTGGAAAAGTACCAGAAGTCCATCCGACCCGTCCGTGACTACAGGGACGGCATTACTGTGTATCTCAACGTAGCACTGAGGCAAATAACTGACCTGGTAAGTTATTACCTCCATGAAAAATGGAAGTATTGTTTTTGGCGCGTCTGTATGTGTGTGTGTGTTTCTGCACGTTTGTAGTCAGCATAACTTCATAACGCATTTATGGATTGTGATAATATTTTGTATGTTGGTAAGTCTTAGGAAGACAAAGGTCAAGGTCAAATATGGGCCTCCTGGTGGTTGACCTTGGTACTGCAGCAGAACTGTAATGTTTATAATCTATGGCAGGAGGAATATCACCAGGTACCAATTATGCAAATACGGACCTAATTTGCATAATTAATCTCAAATTTCTATGACTTCTTAGTGGTAAATAATAGAAATTTCATACTTGGAACATGTGTAAGTTAATCAAAAGTTAACATCACGGTGCATTCATTATGTTTATGTAGAGGTCATTTGCATAATTAAAGAATAAATATACATATTTCATGGAGGTATGAGATCTCGGAACTCTTGTCTTAGGTAATGTTGTTCCTCTGAGAATAACTGGATCGGATTTTGTTAGTGTTTGGAAAAAGGAAGTTCTTCTTCGAGTTGACTCGATTTGCATTTGCAAACTTTCATTGTGAAACGACTAAATGATTACTTTCCTACAGGATGAGAAGAACCAAGTGTTGAGGACATTTTGTTGGCTGAGAGTGGTGAGTTCTAGATTCTCCGTTTGTGTGGTGGTGAGGTTAATTTGGCTGCATAGCTCACTTTGCTTTTCTAAACACTGCTCGAAATATGTTGAAAAAGAAGTGGAGGTGATGATATCAATACAATAAATTTGTACGTTGATGTGCTAGGTTGGTCATGATGCTTCGACCACAACTGAAGTACAGGGCTCCCAAGAAGCCAGATATTCTGTTGACTGAATGATCATATGTTACATAGATGATGAATAGTAAATTATTAGGAATATGCAACTTGATATCTATTATCTTGATTTGTAATTCAAAACTAACTCTGCCAACTTACAGTACTGGAAAGATGAGTATCTCCAGTGGAACAAAACGGAGTATGGCGGGATTTCCAGCATCATGTTTCCTAGCAGGGAAATCTGGATACCAGACATCTACCTGTACAACAAGTACGTATCCAGGATATTTGTGTTTAGTGTTTTTTCAAATAACAATCTTGTTGTTGTTGACTCTGTATTCCGCTCACATTCGTCGGATGTTGGTCACATGTGCTTTAAATAACAAGATCGAGTTACCTCGATCAAAACATTGTGGTACAAATGTTTCAAACATGATCTAAAAACAAATGTGTGTAATTCTGGTCCTGATATCAAAGGAGACAAGGTGGCTCTGTCGCTGAATTTGGGACCCGAAATCTAGAGGTTAAGAGTTTGAATCCTTTGGTGTTTTGCACCCAAAAGCAGTTTACCGGTTATGTGAAACAAACAAACAAACAAACAAGCAAGCAAGCAAAAATGCAGACCCGTGTAGTAGATTCTTAGCCGAATTAGCCTAGCCTAGCCTTTTGATATTAGCATCTAATTCATCCTCTATGTACCCTGGAAGCCAGAACTCGTTTTCCGGGCCGCAAGAACCCTTCGCCCGCTGGTGTAAATTACTGCTACGGGGGAGTCTAGCCCGTCGGGGGGAGTTCTCGGGCTCAACTCCCCCGTAGCGGTAATTTAGATAGGCGGGCGAAGGGCTCTTGGCTGCCGAAGGAAAACAGCTAACGGCCCGATACTAGTTGGCATCCAGGGTATCCTCTATGTGGATGCATCTAATTCATCCTCTACAGTGTAGACGAGCAAAGTGACGGCGGCCTACAGCCGGGCACTAACGTGAAGGTGACGTCAGAGGGAGAAGTGTCATGGCTGACCCCCTCCTCCTTCACCAGTTCCTGTAAGATCGACATCGGACCGTTTCCGTACGACCAGCAACACTGTATTCTTCACTTCGGGTCCTGGACACATACAGGTCAGAAACGTTCACACTTGGTAATATTGTTGATTTAAACACCATTTCTGATAATTCTATACAGCATTTAGTTCTTCGCTGTAGTTTTACTTTATTCGTATGATATCAACTGCAAAATAATGTTAACCGTACAAAATTATATAACACAAACAAAAAGATTCTAACTGTATGTGTCTTCTGGGATGGGAGGTTTGTTACTCACGCGAGGTCTCGTGTATTTTCAAATGTCTTGTAAAATATTTTTTGTCCATTGTAAAAGTGGCTGCGAGAATATAAGTTGTACCTAACTTGAGTTCGCAGTCACTTAGTCCATGTCTTTTCATTTGTAATCATCATTGTGTTTCTGAATAAAATAAAATTAAAAAAAAACGTTCACACAGCACAGTCTTTCTTCTGCAATAGTTTCATCGAAATTAAGAGTGAGAGTTTAAGAGCCTAGCCGCGTCGAGTGACGCATAGGGCGGCGCCCATCTCCGTTCTCAATAGCCCTTGGACACACAGCAGTGCAATCACTGGGAGCTAGTCCACTGGTAGTGGTGTGTGTGTGTTAAACTCCCATACTCTTTCCCAAAGTACTAAGCAGAGAAAGAAATATGTACCATTTTTAAAGTTTCTAAAGCCATTACTCCTGTAGTTTAATCGATGTATTTCTTATTTACTTTTGCAATTTGAAGGCAGCCAAAAAACTTTTTTCTTTCTTCAGGTGTGCAGGTGGATTTACAGAACGCGAGTGCAGCAGCAGACTTGTCTGACTTCGCCGATAACGGAGAATGGTGGCTGCTGGGCATGCCGGTCAGCAGGGAGGAAAAGTTCTACAGCTGCTGTCCCGAACCCTATCCTAACTTAAAGGTATAGAATCATAGTTTTTCTTCTTCTTCTTGAACACAGGCGCGTTGTTTATGTGTCCTCTAGCGGATTTTCTTGGCACTCCAGCGAAAGATACAGTTTTGATATCTTCTGCTCTGGACATTCATTGTTTCATTTACTTATTCTTGGTTGGGAAGAAGTGGTGTAGGTATGAGTCCCCTGCATGGCATCTTTTTTTATTAGAACTGCAGGGTGTTCGATTCTGGTTTCGTAAACTTTGGAATGGAAAAGGAGAGCTAAAGTAGGCCAAATGTATTGTCTTGTTTAGTATGTTATTTCATCAACGCACTCTGTATCTGTATAGTCGGTATAACCACCCTTTGGCGTAACCTCACCTCACCTCACCGGTCCCATAGCAGTCTGTCCTGCCGTCGGGGCAACTAAACTGTCCACAAGAGTTATCCACCCAGTTATCCACCCAGTTATCCACCCAGGCGTAACACACCGGCTTTATAGAAATATTACACGTATTATTATAGAAAAAAATGAAGTCATGTGTGATGTGTCAATATGTGGGATTTTTCTGTGCAGTTTTCAATCGACCTGAAGCGACGCCCGATGTTCTACTTCTTCAACCTGGTTCTGCCGTGCCTGATCCTGCTGCTGATCAACCCGCTGGTGTTCTACCTGCCGCCCGACTCCGGGGAGAGGATGGGCTTCTGTATGACCATCCTGCTGGCCCTGGTCGTCTTCCTGCAGCTCGTGTCGGAGTCACTGCCGAAGACTTCTGACAACATCCCGCTCATAGGTCAGTAATATACAATATACTATCTCCTGTATGCTACATGGAGAAGTCTCATGAAGTAAAGAAACATGTTCTAAAGGTTGATGACTGGATTTCGACTCTTCGTCGCGTCGTCATCATGTGCTTCTTATTGTTTCAAAGAACTGATACCAAATAATTTACGATTTTTTTTATTCATGTATCTATTTGTTTATTGTATTGTTCGTGTATAGTAGTTTATGAGTTTCTTTTGAATCTATCACCCGTACCCCCCGCACTGAACCTTGTTGAAAGGGGCCGCATGGACGAACAAGCCATGGAGGCAAAATAAAAGCTTTGAATTGAGTTAAATGATTCGGAATTTACTTATTATTCTTTACTTATTACAGGGAAGTTCTTTGCTGGCACCATCTTCCTCCTCGGTCTAACCGCGATGGCCAACATCATCATCCTACACCTGTACTACCGCCGGCCCGGGTCCAAGGAAGTCCCTTCGATCATCCGTAAGATCTTCCTCGTCTACCTGGCCAAAATCTTCTGCTTCACCAAGGCGTCGGACCACGACGACGACGGGAAAGGCGTGGTGGACAGCACGGACACGCTCAAGATCTCCAACCCGTTCCTGGACGTGACGCAGATGTTCCCCTTCGGCGGCTCGGCTCCCAACTCACCGGACCCCGGCTCACGAGACTACGGCACCTGGGACTGCTCCGGGCGGGTCCGGAGGAAGGAGCCTCCCCGCGTCACCTTCAACCTCGAGGCGATGCAGACCAACTCTTTGATCTACCTGAAGGAGATCCTGCGAGCGGTGAACGTCATCGTGAAGGACATCAGGGAGCAGAGAGCGGACGAGAACGTGGAGTTAGAGTGGAGGGATGTGGCGATGATCCTGGACCGGGTGGCCCTGTTCTTCGTCATCGTGGCAACGGTAGCGCTCTCCATGGCGATTTTGCTGTTCAGTGGGTTATAGGACTGACGGGAAACATAGTACTAGTACGTACGCTATCCAAAACTCGATGTGTCATTCACCAAAAAGAGTTCACTGAAATGACTCTCCTGTGATCAGTCCTTGTAGCAACTCACGATTATAAGAAGAAAAAAAAAATGATGCCAAAGCTTGAATATTTCTCGAAGCTTAAGTATGAAGACGTAAACTGTTTCTTGTGTATGCGAAGTTAAATGGTTGTAGATGTGGACATTATTTAACCTAGAAACTTGTACATATCACTTTTCTGTAACTAGAAATTGTGTGATTTAGAATACGTTTTGATTATAGAAGGAATGTGTGGTAAGAAGAATGTACTTGTAGATACTTTTCGGTACTAATGATCTTTTTGGCGACGCCTCAGGGGCGGAGCCGTTAGTATAGTACTGCGATCGAGTTGAAAATATTCTAAAAATTCCGTCAATGCATTCCCTAGGGAATTACTTGTTTGAATGACTCTGTGTTTGTACACAGCAAGTAGGGATATCTAAAGTGATGGTTGATCTTTTGCAGAAGTCTTTTGTGTAAAGTTTAATGGCTTAGTTGTCAGTCGATAACTGGATACTTTATAAGTAGGAAAGGCCTATGTTACCATGCATGCAAAAGGCACCTTTTCCGGCCAACTGTGGCTTTGTACACACAGAATATTAATGATTGTTTTTATTGATATTTCAAATATGTTCTCTTCTATCAAGAGAGAAAAAATAGAATAAAATAAAACAGAATAATTTTGTTGCTCATAAGAAAGAACAAGGAGCAGCATATTCAAGCTTAAAAGAATAATGTTTTAAGTAAGTTTTTAGCTTCAACCATATGATGCTGGGCTTTTATTTATAACTTAACTGTGTGCTAATGATGATGTTTTGTGTGTTTTCCACCATGCGTGTTTGTGTCAGTCTTGCTTTTTTTATTCATATTTTTTCTTTGCTTTCACGATGCTGCTGCATTCAATGCTTGTTTTTTCAATCTTCTTGCGTGCAAAACATGAATGCACTCCCCGATCCTTCCTTGACTGGGCTTCGTGCTTGCCAGTGAATCCCTGCTGTAGTCTGCATCTCAGGGTGAGACATGGCGAAATTTACCTGTGGACACAAAAAGAGAAAAGCAAATGAGGTCCATATTTGAATAAGTTATGTGATTTAATGATGTTTACCTTCACCTAACTTTCAAATGCCCTAGGTATGAAATTCCAGGCAGTTACCATTGCTGAATTACAACATTGCTGAATTTCTCATTAATTATGCAAATTAAATCTTAATTTACATAATATCTGCCTGTGTTTCTCTCGTTCGCAATTACATATGCCACATGCTTTAATAGTCCTATCATGTAATTTAACTGAATCATGGCACGGGGGCCTGGCACCTAGGCTACATTGTTTTCCCAGCAATCATTAATCATAGAAAGCATGGTACTTTTCAAAACTCACACAGCTTATCGTGAAAGAAGCACTATAGAGATGCGAACATTGCCTAACTATCGTGATTATTTACAATATTGCGTATAATAAGGATGGTTAGGCACTTACCTGGTATTTTGTTCCACTTCTTCTGTCTTGTATTCTTGAGTAACTTTTGTGTTTGTCGTCATGTAGAGCTGAAAGAAACAGTGTAGAACAAGTTAACGAAGTTTGTTATATTCTAGGGTTGCGTTATTCTGCATAGTTCGACAGCGTTCAGCGTGACCGCGGAGGAGAACATGCGTACAGAGCAGCAAAGTGTAGGTGCATCAATCATCAAGGGTTAGAGTTAGGATGTACCGGATTGTCAATAAACAAAAAATACATCCACGTCGGGTGTGTCAATAAGAAAATAATTTTTTATATCCACACCAAGTGAATCGATAAAGAGAAAAAATACCTATCCACACCGGGTGTGTCAATAAGGAAAGACAAATATTTTATATCCACAACGGGTGTGTCAATAGCCACGTACTTTCTTAATATCGTACGATGATGTAACCAACAGACCCGTATGGTATACCGCTTACTGGCCATCGAATCCGCATTATGCATTTCTAATTATAGCGAACTCACCTTTCCTATAACCGCTGATATTATAAGCCGACAAAAGGCAAAAGTAGGGAAAGTTCCAAAAGATTTAATGAGCAAGTACCCTATTCTAGTATATAATTATTGTACAGACAAAGGGCGAATTTTCTTCTATACTCTCACCCCGTCCAATCAACCCCGCCGAGACAGCAGATTCGAATAGCTTCCTTGTTTACTCAAACCACAACATCAGTCAAAGCAAAGATTTAAAATGATTGTTTTAAAGTTGATAGTTGTGGCTGTTGGGAAATGAAATGATCCACGCGATGTACCATGGTGATAGCAGGGCATACATGAATGTGACGGTCCAAGGCGCGGATTTTTCTAGAAAACGATGAACTGTCAGTCTCAAAAACGTATGAAGCAGAGTCAAGGAACTGATTGTAAATACAACGGAACGATTATTCGCCCTAGCACCGTATATACGTAGCCTCCCCGGTATATCTACGGTCATGGACGCCCGCCTGCGCTTCTTCTTGTATAATCTTAAGAAACCAGTTCTACATCCTCAACAAATGTAAAGGCGAATGTTTTCATCTTTACTCTGTGACCCAATTTCCCCCAAACCACTAGAAATTTTCACGTTGACATTGTCGGGAATTGTGGGGAAAATCACTGTTGTCAGAAGCTGGGGGCAACACTTACTTTAAGCCAGAGAATCGCAACAGGCTAAGTTTAGTGGGTACGTCATTTAGAATAGTATAAAGGGTTATCATAGTGTAGAAACGAAATTAATGAGTTATTTACGCAAGCTTTACAACAAAGATTGACAGCGAAGGAAAACATTTGGACGAAGCGGTGTCAGAACCGTCAGGACGCCGGTGTGAACAACAATTCTTTAAATTTCAAAATAAGAGACGGTACCCAAGCAGAACGTGGGGCCGCTCAGAGACAATGTCACCTAGCCTGAACGACTGCATGGAAAAACGGACTGATCGAAATGGAACAACTTACATGTTACATGCACACAAAAAAATCATAACATTACACAAAAAAACTTTAAACCAAAATAATACACCGTTTGATGGTACACGTAAGAAGGCAACATGAACCAAGACCGTGGACACAAATACACACTACATATGGCATGGTTCTAATATTAAAAGAACAGTCTCAACCTACTCAAGTTTGGGCTTACCTCCGTGCCTGCACGACTAAAATCCGGGGGCCTTCCAAGTGTGCGTGCTGCTCCGGCGAGGGTTGACCGGGCCGCGGGACACCCGCTTTCCACGCCCGCGCGCTGTTGGCCGGGGCTGCCTGCATTCTACGCCCGTGCGCTGCTCCAGATTGGCCGGCCGGGCTACCCGCGCTCCACGTCCCGCGGCCTGGTCGTGAGGTCACGCCGCCGATGGACGTGGGTTTTTTTTCCGTGCGTAATGAGTCTGCGAGTAGGTCGCGGTGATATTTATACGAGGACACATCCTTATTAACATGTTTTGCTAGCTCTGTCCATTTTTGGAATATATGGGAGGGATTAAATATTGCTAATTGTAAGACAATTACGCCTGATTGGCCAAGACAATGAATACGATTATCTAACTACATTTCTGCTGACCACAACAACTTGTGCGAGGCAACCTCCGGCCATCTGGCCAGGGTCACTGTATGGGATGGTGCGAAAGGGGTCAAGCTTGTTGTTGTAGCGGCGGTGTAAACAAACAGAAACCTTCCCCGAAACCTGAAAACGTAAAGCCCCTTATATTACCAACATGAGCACATGTCCACAGCGCAAGCCTTTTCAAATTCCAAAACGCTGCCGAAAAGAAATGACGGGTTCCATTTATTTACTATAACGATGAAACCCATGGAAGATTATAAAAATAATGTGTGTCTTTATTCTTCTTCTGTTGTGTTTCCTTTTACTGTTTGTCCTAAAACCGCTACAAAGAAAAATATGTGCCAACAAAAACGGACAAAAGTGCATCCAACGTTACATTGTGACGCGGCGATTTGAGGCATATAAAAACTAGCATCCACCAGGCCTTTCTACGGGAATACGGATCGTAGAATTCGGGGAAAAAAGAGATTAAAATTGGCCAAGGGAGTCCGGCCGCGAGGAGGTAGTTAAATGACCCCCTTATAAATCTTTCCCTCCGAAGGCCAGTCAAACCTACTAGGTCCTACAAGGCGGTCAAACTCCCCTGGCAAATATTCTACTATAAATAGCCAGCGTTGTGAGTCTGGTAGAGGCTATGTAAAGACATAGTCACTGAAAAAGTCAATTGTGAACGACAGGCCAGATCAAGTGTATAGCAAATATTAGTATCTGGACATACATTTCTGCATTCGGAATCGGAAACAACGAATGTCACCAAGGAGCTCTTATCTACGCACCGCAACACGTTCAATTCGACAGAACAACAACAGATGACACTTGTGGAACCGCCTGATCTTCGCGGATCAACTTTACCTCTATAAGGTCGTTCTGTACGTTTCTGGCGAGTGTACCTGTGGTCACTCTATTTATTTATTTATCAACCTTGGATGCATGTTGGTGTCCCTGCAAACGTGTGTGGCGGACAACACATCTATAAACCAGACCTCGTGACCGTGGCCTGTTTGCGAACCAGCACACGGACAGCATTCAGGATATAATACAAGCACCTACAAGCACGCCAGGCCTATATCTGTAGCATTGGGGGTTCATAACGGCTTTCATAAACATTTTTCTGACAATCCCGTACCTGCGAAAAGGTTTGGGTTTGATAGCCTATTCCTACCCTTACAGAATATACACACAGCGACAGACCATGCTATGTTATGCACATAATGATAATGTATATGATATACATATGGTTTTTGCGTATCGATCCAGAGTCCAGAGCGCACGTAAACTACTAGTATATTGCCCTGCTTTCTATTATATAAGGTCAACGACCGCTTGACCGGGCATGTAAAATTTGCAGCGGTGGAGAAAAGGATCGCTTCGGTAGACTAGATAATGATCACCATACCGGTATCCAGTGATCTTTGTTCCTACTGACTTTATACAAGGAGCTTTCATCACAAGTAGTATGTCCTTTTATGTCTTACAACTTTTGATAGATTTTATCTGGATTCATGTGCTGTACGTGCGCTCTTATAGAGTCCATTCCAAGTCACCGCGTGTTTTTTAAAATAGTACCTTTAATATTTTCTCAATGTTTTTATTTTTGAAAATATTATAAATATTCTGAAATTATTATAAAAATGTACGTACTTGAGTAGCATGTTTTCGAAAATGTCATAATTTGCAAAAATTTCGAAAGTGGCAATCAACTGAGATCTTAATTTTAATTTCTTTTTTTTACCAGCCAAACTTCGTATTTACTTGATGTGCAGTTTCACCCGCGGCATCTGGGTTTACGCTCTCTGGCGGCGTCCTTTGTAGTCCGTGTAGTCAAAAGGCAGACGCCTGCATACAAATGAGCCCGATCATGACGTCACACGCGCCGATGCAGGCCGAAGATCGCGATCGCCCGAGCTGCCAGCGGTTTCCGCGGACTTCCTTATTTGGAAGCACACATGACTTGCACGGACGGCGTTTTTGACGAGAGGGAAGACGGAGTGTATTTTGACATGTTTCGGCGCCGTGTAATAGATCTACGTAATACTGTGCGAGAAAGATCCTTGAATTTACAAGCGTTTTTGTGAATGGGTACCTATTTTTATCTCAAGAAATATGGATGGACTGTACAACCATGGTACAACAGAAAGGATTTGATGTTTCACTAGAGTTTGAGATTTATTAAAAGCAGCGTACGGTTTGGCACTGTTTTTCAGTATCAATGGCTGGCCGCTATCGTGTCGAGTGCTCGCCGACGGCAGGATCGCCGCAGGGTTCATCAACGATACCTACTAGTATTTTTGGCTCACAGAACGCTTCGTGTTGATGTGCAAATTACTTCGTCACGGGTCATTTACAAAAATTAAAAAAAATGGTAGAACCGAGTTGCCTTTCTTTAGAAATCATTGGAAATATCGTACGCGGACTCAAAAATATTTCGAAAGTTTTGTAATTTACGGAAATTTCTTAAGAAGTTAAGAACAAGTTTGAAATGTTTGTAAAACATAAGATATCCCTTTAAAAATATTTATAAAAGATTGGAATTAAATCTAAACAATAGCAACAAACACCGAGCTAAGAATGGGGACCCGATATTGGTCGATTGCCGACATGTAGATAACCAGGCACATATATGTACATGTAGCTAATGAAGTGAATATTCCAATTCGTACATATAATAAAAATAAATTAAATTGATAATACCCTAATTTACATAATATACAATTCGTCGCCTAGGTGTATTTTTTACACCTTTCTTGTTATGTACTTTGTTGTAATTGTGGCTGTGGAATTGTTGAAACATGACATTGTTGTTGGCTGTAACCCGTAAAAACTATTCAAGTTCAGAATCTAAGAACTACTATCTATGGAGGCAAAATGGACGTACTGCACATTTGTACTTAAACAATTCAAATATTGCGTTCTGTAGGTACTGTAGTTCTGTAATACTGTGATGACCTATGAATAAGATATGTGAACAAAGCAAAATAGAGTTTACTCGTACTTAGAGAAACGTTGAAATACTTGTCATTGTTTAAAGAAAACAACATAGCTTTCAAGAATTCATGGGTACTGTATTATATATAAGAGAACACACTCGCTATTGTATTTTCTTCGATAGCTCTACTATGGACACATACACCATCGGAAGAGGGCTTCTAACGTCAATATCAGAGATGGTGTATCCACACTTCTGGTACAGGCTGAGAGCTTTTTGATGAAATTCGGTGGTGCTCATGAACATTTCCTGGACTCCGTCGGACTTGCAAAAATCTTCAAAATGTTTCACGAGTCGCCTGGCGAGTCCCTTGCGTCTGTGGGGAGGTAGGACACACATCCGGGTGAGCTCGGCTCTGGTGTCGCTGGCTCTGTTCAAAGCAACCGTTCCCACTATCGTCTCCCCCTCGACTGCAACCCAAAACCTGCTCCCAGTCTTGTCATACCAAGTGAAGATGTCCTGCAGTTCCTGCCGGTTCCGCTTGAGGTGTAGCTGATAGATCTTCCACAGGAATCCCCAACATGACAGGAGGGCAGCAAGTAGAGCTAACACAACGGACAGAGATACAGACCCCGTCATCGTGTAGAATAGAACCAGAAAACTCACTACCAAAACGCCGCCTACCGGTTTGATCATGAACTGCAAGGCTAATGGAAAGTTGACTTGTTCTTGGAAGAGGTTGGAGAGAACCATCTCGGTGACGTGTTTTGCTTCGTCCCGTCGAAGGTCTCTGATGATCACCCCGCTGTTTTCCATTCTGAGAAGCGTTGAAACATGAAATGCTTAAACTTCACCTGTAGGAATGAATATCAAATAAAACGATGATGACCAGATGAAGCCAAAATATGGTGGCAATAGCTTTACCTATCATGTGTCTAATCAAGACAAATATTACGAAACAACAAATTAAAACCAACGTTTATGATGTAAAATGTCTCTGTACATGTATTTTTCGGAAAGATACATTTGTTTGAAGCATTTTTTTGTGTTTCTGTTCTATTATGGCATATGGTACGTGTCGACAGTGTGAAAATTGTTACGTTGGTCAATGTCTAAAATACTTTCACACTCGGTTCAGACCACAAGCGTAGGCTATATATATGTAAGCATATGTATATACATACGCCAACTTGACATACCAGTAATGGCCATACCGTCAGAATTCAGTTAGAAACACAATAAAGGAAACACAAGGGTTCAAATCACCGAGGGACTAGTAGTTGGCTTATTTACGTCCGCATTCACACGTGCAGTGAAACATATTTCGAGTGAGTACAAAGTCCACTACGACAGTTCTACTCGGACACCCAATACTAAGACTTCGCTGACACGACTGGGGCATAATGGCAAGCAATGTTTAGTATCTATTTATTGCTTGTCGATGCAAATAAAGGTACCACAATTTACGTTTTCATTTAACTGCTTTGAATAAAACACTGTCGTGGTTACGCGGCGTTACGCCCCCCTCCCCATTTGTGAACGGTGTCTTGTACAAAAGAAATATATGCAGAGTTTAATCTTTTCCACAAAGACACACGCTGTACATGTATGCTACCACGTAAACTCTTTCCAAGGAAATCAAAAAAGATGACATACCTGTGTCGTCTGCAAGCATATGCAGATATTTGTTCACGATGTATTCAAGTTGGGTGACGGGTGTGCAGGTGACCCAATATGACCTCTGACCTACGAACTCTGTTCTACAGTCTACCTGGTCACTTGGAAGGGGCCTATTAAATTAAAGAAACTTGTACCATGCGATAACCTGCGTAATCCAAGTATTTGTATCTTCCTCGTTTGTATAAGTTGATTTTTTTATTGTATAGTGTCTCTACATGATGTATACAACATCTAGGGTAACCACGCCCCACTCACTGTCAGGCCTATCACACATACTATGGCGTCCCGAACACTACAAAGTCGGCTGTGGTTAGAAGAAGAACAGGCCACTCTAATTTGACAGATAGAAAAATAGTTTTATTCAAAGACGAATCACCAAAATCAGTATACAATTGTGAAATAATTGATACATAAAGGTACATGGTGTACATTTTTAAAAGTTATCGTGGATTTTGAATTATAGACCTTTCAAGTCGAAACATTTGGACAATCGTCATTTGGCTAATCCTTTTTTTAAAGCAACGACGTCGACATTTGCTGCAGTAACAAAGTATGAAGAATCACAATGTGTTTGGAATACTATATACGTACACTTTATAGATCACATATTTTTCAATTGCAATTAGCAAAATTATTTTTTTATGTGACATAATGTCATAGATCCCTCCTTAACATTTTCAACTGTTTATCGTACTTCACTTCAAAATTTATGATTCGTTAGCAAATTCTGGGAAAATTGAAAGCATAAACAACCACGGTCATAATCAGAAAGGGTCCACGTAATGCAATAAGTATTTTTATTTTGGGGGCGTTTATGAAAAAGGGACAAAATCACTGAACTCTAGTTGTCATCCAGTTGATGAATAATGTAATGAATGAATCAATGAATATGAAATAATATGTAATTGTCTCGAACACTACATATTACAAAGCTATAACTAGTAACGTTACTGGTGCGAATTAAATGATAACCGAGTAACCCAGATAATTATAACACCATAATATCGAAAGGTAACTATGAATAATGAAAAATGCAAGATTTAAATAACACTCATAACACTTATTAATTAGCGCCTATACAAGACAGATCTTAAAGGCATCCAATGCGATTTCAGAGCAGCAAAACTTGAAATATTTTGAATAAGACAAATCACCTAAAAATCACCCAGGCAAGGGCTCTTCCAGTAAGCATTTTCCGTCAGAAATTTAGGGCTTTTTGTTCCACGAGGGTCAATATACATTGGGATAGTGTGGTTTCAACTTAGTATGTAGATAAATGACTAGAATACTGACTTTGATGAATCGGGTTTCCAATAAAAAAAACTTCATTGGATGCCTTTAAAATCCAACTGCTTCATGATTATACTATCGTAACTTAGTTAATAACCAATGACGTTTACCTACTAATATTATAATGCAAGATTTGTTCATGGCAAAAAAGATAAGCAGTTGAAAGTAAATATAAGCCATGTACGTAAGAACAGAATTCTGTCAGTAAGAGCGTTTTAAAGATGCCCACAGAAACGTTCATGTAAAATATCCTCATCTGCCACAGAGTGCTTTCCTTGACCACATTCTTCTCCGGAGTCACTTTTGCTTTTGATAAATTTACTATATTTTGCAGTTGTAGATGTAAGTGCGATAGTGCATGTACCATACCAAGTCGCTAGGGGGCCAAAATCTAATAATTTCTAGGTCTCATCAATACCTACCCATCTACCAAGAAAATCCATTTATAGTTTCTTGAGTAATCGTACTAAACCACATACATTGTTTAAACACACATACACACACGCCAAAGCACGCAAGGACACACACACACACACACACACACACACACACACACACACACACACACACACACACACACACACACACACGCAAATATACACAGACACACATACACACACACACACACATACAGAGCACAAACCCACACACAAGCGCCACCAAAACCATAAGGTAGCAAATTTAAGGTGTCATAGCATACTGATCATAACCCGCAGTCTCATAACATCTCTACACGTGCCCATACCAGTTAACAGTAATACACCAAAACTGGCATCACTCATCACCACATACAAAGCCTCTTCTAAGCTACTTGCAATGTCTGCAGAAACTGTTGGCTTTCACGGCTCTTTTTATAAACCTTTAAGTCAATCTGATGTAAATCTATGACAACGTTTCAAGCTAACTGCACTAAAGCTTATAGTGAACTAGCTGATAACGTTTAAGACTACGTTTTCTACACAAGAGGGGTTAAGCGAATGGAAACTAATCAGACCCCACCCGCCTGATTTTGTCATCTTGCAGTTAGCTGTTGATGCTATATTCAGGTGTAGCCCCGTTAAACAAAGCAGCTTTCGATACGTATGGCATCTTCAAGGACCTCAATGAGGAACGTCACTAACTAGTTTCATTGTATTATCCATGAACCCTGTGTGCTATCCTCCCCAGCCTCAGTAACGACACCGGGCCTCTCCGTGGTAAACTCGAAATCCCCACAGTTAAACCTGATGGCGTGGTACATGTTATAAACCAGCGGATTACCAGTCCCACCTGTGTCAGACCCACTGCGGCAATATTCTAAAGCCTCACCATAGCCCGTATATCCACTGCCTGTCTTTACGTAAGTTCCATAGTCCCTACCGAAGTCATTACCATTGGGGACGGTGAACTCAACCGTGTTCTCATTCCTGACAACGTCGCTTACCTCGAGCAGTAAGTCAGTATCTATCCCCGCTGTCATTGTGGACGTAAGCCGACTATCATGTTTGCAAATATTGTTCCTTGCAACAACAGTGATTCTGGTGTTGTCGTTTGCGCCGGGGTATGGAGGGCTAGTAGTGCCATCGGGTTGGCTCTCGAGAATTGGACCTGGGCATTTAAATTCAACACAGACAAACCTGATTTTGGATCATTAGGATTTGTCTTTGTTCTATCCTCTCTTATACCATAGATTACGCCAGTATTTGGCGCATAGACGCCCCCACCCCTACTTGTGATGCGAATTTCTGTATGTGCATATTCGGTGTCAAATTTTACAAACACTTTGATGAAGCAAACCCTTTTAAACTCATTTTCATTGGGATACCAGGACGTCACAGTGATCGGTTGACTGTACTGGTTTTGATCGAAGGTGTACGGTGGGAAAACGTACGGCTGGTAAACGGTGTTTACAAAGGCAAAGTGGTTGTCGGCTACGGTCGAACGACGGCATCTGTGGTAGCTATACCACCACCGGCGGCCGGTAATGTAATCGTCATACCTGTAAATGGGGCCATTACTATGATCTGGTCTAAACACATCAAAACTCAGAGTCTTCCCTTCGTCTTTTATCTCAATTCTATTGTAGAAATCAGCGCTAAAGCCTGTATACAGACTTTTGTCTACGGCCACGAAGTGCATGCTATCTTTCACGACATTAACTCTGGCACTGAAATCGTTGCCGGTGGGTTCGCACAATGCTTCTAAGCATATCCCGCCTCCATAATATGAAGATGTAAAACCCCTTTGATACACGCTCAAAGAGTTGCTCCGACTAAACCCACCCGTGTTGCTTGTTGTTATCACTGCAACGTCGGCATTGTTGACCACACCTGTAGGTACACCCGTGGCCTTGGAATACACAAAATTTGCAACACTCTGGTAGGCGCGGATCTTGACGTAGCAGCGCCTGTCATATGGCTCAATCTGATCAAAATTCCATGGCCTATCAGCAATGTACAGAAACTCCCCAATGATAAATGTTGACCTTTTCCTCCTCCTTGATGCTGTCCCCACCCTCAGATTCCCCGCCTCTTGCCACAGACCACTGTCTGTATCCAAACTCCAAATCTTCGCTCTCAAATTACCGTTTTCATCAACGTCATTAATATCGATTTGTGATTCAGAGGGATCGATGTGAACAGTAAGATTGGCTCCTAGTTCGAGACTGGCGCCTTCTTCAGTTTCAAAGTCCATCGTGAACATACCGAAAGTCTGCATCGTATTTTCTTGCCCCTCTACATCAACGGCTGTTAGCTCTCCCTGAATAGACTCAAAATCTTCCTCATTTCTGGGGTCAACAAACGAAACAGAGGCCTTTACCTCACCCTCAAACAAATTTCCATCCGACGTAAAGAAAGAATTCGCCGGAACGTCAATCTCAGCAAGAGGCTCAACCCCCTCCACTGTCCCCAGGTCTATAACACTTGTCTCTGTAGCCATTATTGTTACCGGGGGAGGTCTCAGCTTCAGAACTACATCAAAGTTTAACGTGTCACTACCTGTCAAGGAAAGCACTCTGGTACTGGTCACTAGGATCTTGAAATAATCTCGAAAGGTCAGAGAAATCTTACTAGCAGTTGTTTCTGTGGTAAATTCGAACATGCCTGTCTCACTGGTGTAGTCAACTACTTGACCGCCCATGATAACCGCACCATAGGTTAGCGGGACCTCGGTGCTAGCGTTATTGGTACGGTTCACACCGTACGCCCTTCCCTGGATTCGTTTGGTAAAGGTTTTGACACAACTTCCACACCCACACTCTGTTGTAACTGTAACGTTTAAACTATAACCAGAACAGTATACCGTGCGTGTCTCTGTGCTGGTAGGAACGCAGCAGAATCTCTTGGTGTCCACGCACATCCTGTCTGCTCCGCCCAGGTCTCCCACACAGTCGTCCCCGCCGCAGGAGCCGATGTCGTACCCGGTGCTGTTGGTGTCCTCCTGGACACAGTCATCCGGCAGGCTGATCAGGTTCTCTACAGGCTGCACGGGACAGGAGCTCAGGCTGTCCTCTGTAAGAAAACAATGAAGAATCGGGTCAACATTGTAAAACGCTAACATATATAAGTACAAGTGCAAAACCGAATTCTGACTTCTTCCCACTATTAGTGTTTTCAATAAAAACAAACTGTGGTCAGTATAAAAAAAAATCGGATAATGTGCGTTCTCTTCGTCAGGCTAGTAGATGTGGTATAAACATCTAAGACGCTTCCTAAGCACACCGAAGAAAAACCTCTCTATATATTACACATATGAGAGTGCAGGTAGGTGTATTCTCGCACTTTTCTACATTTTCAGCCATGATCACATAGAATAAAAGGCAGCAAGACTTTGATTAGACTCACCTTCCACCTCAAGTGTTGCCTCGTCTGAATACTTGGACCCGGCATCACTGTTGGCTCGGCATCGGTACACACCGGAATCGTCAACAGCCAGGTTCTCGATGGTGAGCGTGTCGTTGTACCCGTACACATCCTCGTCTAACACTAGTCCGTCTTTGAACCTGGGGATGGAAAACACAGAGGATAAAGAAAACAGTTATAAGTTATAATGTGATGATGATGAAGAAAGACTGAGTGCAGTGGCAGGACGCAGCAACAGAGCAGAACAGAGGCAGAACACAGTAGATGACACAGAGAGAGAGAGAGAGAGAGAGAGAGAGAGAGAGAGTGAGTGAGAGAGAGATTATGGTGATAGGTACAATACTGTTGTAGAGAATTGGTAGGCATAGCAAAAAGGACCTTGTAATAAATACCAAGTTCATTATACCATTACTTTTCAAAAGATAAGTTGGAGTACAAAGTTGGAGTAATGGTAATGAGTTCGTCTTTTGTTGCCTTTTTCTTTGACGTGGTCAAAAGCTAAGCTGGAGCTACTATAACTGCACACGAATGTGTGGACATGTGCGGATGCAAAACGATTAGATAATCTAGATCAGCTTAAGAGGCCACGTGCAGATATACAGCTACTTTAGATATCACCATAAACAGTATTGAAAAATTTTAATGACCGGTACCAGTGTACTAACCATTCATAAGAAGAGATCGGCGGCTTTCCGTGTGCATCACAGCAGAAAGTGACGTCCTGTCCGACCAGGCGTTTCTTCGACTGGGGATGTTCAGTTATTATCGGTGGCACTAAAGGTATAATAAAATCATTATGTAAGTTCATCTGTGTCGGTAGTTACATGCCTTAAGTTAAAACTATTGGTCCATCAAAAAGAAATGTTTTCACCTAAAGCTTTCGACCAGTCACTTTTGTGTTCTTCAATGGACTTTGTGTTGGAACAAAAGTTAAGACGTAAAATGTAAAGCGAATCAGCTCAAAACATTGCCTTCTTGGCGAAGGTAATAACTTATACTTTATTCAAACAATGGTGAACATGGCAGCAGTACATAAACAAAGAAAATTATGGACTGCTGAATTGTATTGACCTTACATGTACATCAAAATATAATGCGGACTGATCGAACAACTTTTTCAGGGGAATGGTTCACAAAACAATGGGCATTAAAACCCTTGATGCTTACCTAGAGCAGTCATGTTAACTCGCACATATGAGGTCGTTTCATCTTGTTCGGTGGATGTAGCGTGAGCTTCGAAGTACTCCACCCTCCTCACGATGATGTCTACGCCTTGTGCGCAGGCCCCAGTCAACGTGAAGTCCCCCAGGGCGTCGGTGTGCGTCACGACCTCAAGCGGGTTCTCGGCGAGGCGGATTTCAGCGTCACCGAGAGGAACACGTCTGGTGTCCGTCACATGGCCGGTCAGGACATGACCATCACAGGTGCAGCCACAGGCATCGTTCAACGTCCCCACCTCGCAGGTACGCGAGCAGTCTGTAAATAGAGGTCGTCTTCAGTGCGTATTGTTCTGAATGTTATTTTGATTACTACTACCATACATGGACGCACTTCGTACATTAAATTCTTCTTCTGGTAGATGACACCATGTACCGAAAGTCACTTTGCACTATCACTACATTTCAAGTTATACCCTATTTCGGCTGATTCTCTGACGACGTATATAAATGCTATCAAATAAACTCCAAACGACATCACATTGCAACATAGATGGGACAGCGTGAATGATTTTTTTAATACAACATGGATACTCTATCATTTGCGATGACAGTTGTATTGCAGAAAAAGCTAATTCGTGTAGTAACTATGGTACTTCAATAGCATTACCTGGACACTGCCATTCGTTACAAGGTCTGGTCTCTGATGGGTTCCCGACACAGTCTGCCCCTCCGATGGTCGGCGGAGGGTTGTCACAGGTCCTGGTCCTGGTCTGGACTCCGCCCCCACAAGAGACGCCACAGCTCCCCCAGGATAACCACGTGGCCCAGTTTCCGTCCTCGACAACTGCGTTAGAAGAAAAGAAAAGAAGCTAAGAGTGAGTAGAAACCGGAAAAGCCCCGACTCTTGAACAGCCAGCTTACGACACCAGCGTGCTAACTACTATTCCAAAAGGCCCAAGACCTGCTCAAATCTGCTTATCTAAATATTGTTACCTTTGATAAAAGACCATAAATCAAATCAGCTTCTTTGCGTTGATACACTTCGCGGCATACGAGAAGCTAATCATCTAGAATGATCAAATGATCAAATATGTGGTATATACAACAACATGAATTAGATCTAGCATCATGGCCTGTTAAAAATGGCATTTGAACCCAACTGACCTATTTCACAGTTATCTCCTGCAAACCCGTCCACACAGTCACAAGTATAACTGTTGACTCCATCCGTACAGTTGCCGCTATTGTTGCACGGATTAGGAGCACAATCATCAATGTCTAGGAAAACACAAAATTTAAGAGTTGGTGAGAAAACATCAACGCAGCAACACGCAATAGCTGTAACAATCAATGTTTAGTGTACATGATATTCACGGACAGCCATCTAACATGTTCAAAAATATGACCTTGAAAAATAATGTAATACCTGGATCTTGAAAAATGATCTAATACCTGGCCTCTTCATCAACTGACCTGTTTCACAGTTATCTCCAGTATACCCGTCCACACATGTACAGGTGTACCCGCTGTCGCCGGCCGTACATGTACCGCCATTTTCGCATGGATTAGAAGCACACTCATCAGCATCTGCGACTGAGAAAACAATTTGAACTTTGGTAAGAATATTATCAACACGATTATGTTAAACATTATCGAATTTCATATTACCAGTTTCAAAGATTTTACTGATCATGAATTAATTAATGATAAAAAAAGTAGCATTAGTCGTACGCACCACACATGAGGTCTTCTCCCTTCCATTTTCCATTCACACACGTCTTGTCGTTGTTCCCACCCTCCCTGGTATACCCGGGAGCGCATTGATAGGTGCAGGTGTCACCAGCCTCGTAGGGAGACGTGCAGTCAGGACCAACTGTGTTCGGTATAGTTGGCGGGGCATCTTCACAGGGCTTGCCTGAAGGTAAAAGGAAAAGAAACTAGAAAGGTAACATTTGTAAAGCAAATGCATAATGTTACCTTCGCACATGGTCTGCTCTGTTAATACTTACTCTAACAGATTCATTGTGTTCTTGAGAAAGGCACTTCAGAATTTTCTCACTAGACTCAGGTGAAAATCAGTACCTAGCTTCGTTAGGGACATGAGGGGCGTGCTCTTTGATGGGGATTAAAGCGGAGTTGTTGGGTTGGAGAAGAGTCACAATTCGAACCCACCACACTTATGTGGGTGATTCAAACCTTACTGTCTGGTTCAGGGGTTGACATCTCGAAAAGGTGCTAGATACCTGCTATGTCAATCATTCCCAAATTATGGTAAAGATTGATGAATAAAAGTATGAAATACCACTCCATAGACATATACATAATTTTATTGAATGTTGGTCACTCACATTTACACCGCAATCCGCGTCCTCCAGTCCACCACTTAGACCTGCCCTTGACCTTGCACACCCTCCGTGTACCTCCTACGTCCTTTACACACCCCATCCTGCATTGAAAGGTGCAGACGGTTCCATCTGGGTACCACCCGTCTGCGTTTGGGTCCTTGTCGCAATCCGATGTGACGTCGGCAAACTCCAGAGGCTTACACCTCTCTGTAAGACAGGCACAAGCGTATGTCTCCAGTACTTTAACTTCGTATAAGACAAAATTATGAACGAAAGGCACAAGGCAAAACATGGAATATTTGTGAAGAGAATCTCTGCAAATGGAGCTAGCAAATCGTTTACCATGTTGACAAATAATATCAACTGATACCCAGATAGTTGGCAAGTGGCATATTCTCGAATTCAAATATAATCCCCAGGACCTACTTCTAACTTTCCTCCCTCCAACAGCAGCCACATACAACACAATGACGAGACAAAACAGGAGGCTGATGGCGACCCTAAGACAGAAAAAAATGGCATTAGGTTGAATGTATACACCAAACTATGCTGAACTGCTGAATTCTTCTTATACCTATTTTGCTTTTGGCCAGAAAGTGACCTTGATCTCATCACCCCATTGAAACATGAAGTTCTACGTATACGGTCTGCTTATTTAACTTTCTATAAAAACTTGCAAACGCCCTCGGCCATTGTAATAGAGATTGGAGAATGGTAACAAATTATGTTCAGCCATACGCGTCTCTTTGCTAATGTGCTAAGACAGACCGGTCAAACAAGATACTTTCGGAATGACGTTACAGCTGTAAGTTGCGTACGTTGGATCTCACTTTGTAACACAGGACATGCATGTCCATGAATGTGCCAACAGATCAAAGGACAATTAATTCACTAAAAATGTTCATTAAAGGAGTACTAACCTCCAGGAGGAAGTTCAATTTTCCGATACAACATGCTGCAATGAATACATAACTAGCCGACTTTTTACATAATTTCGCTTGTACGAGTTGCGCGGCGCATGTTTGTAAAGTGATATTAATATCATTTTCCCCCATGCTGAACCACAATTGATACATCCGGGAACTCTGGCTTACGCAATACTCATACACTTCAGGTCAACATAAACATTTTTTGGCGAAAATGGTAGGAGACAAGCACACTAATAAGCTGATTATCAAGAAATTACTTGCTTTACTTTGCTTGACCTGTGGCTTGGATATTATGATACAGTATCAGGATGTCGAATACAGTAGGCGCCAGTTTCATCCTGCGTGTTTTGATTTTGTCAACTTATTTGCATGTAAGTATAACTTGAACAGATAATTAGATTACGCCACATATGAAAATGATAACTAGATTACGCCGTTTTTTTCATCGTCAATATTTGCGGCATAAATGAGGGGCGATAAGGACACCAAGAAGGGAATTGGTTGGTAAGATAACAAAGAATACAAAACGGTACGAATTTTTCTTATCGCCCCCGAAATGAGGTCTGTAACGTAACTTTTTGTTTAAAACATAGACATCAATAGGGTAGCGTGGTGTATTCTGGGATAGTTTTGAGGGTATTTGGAGAGTTTGTCCTGGATTCGATGCGTGTTAAGACTTGCGCGCAAAATTGGCATTTAATTGTATATTGTAAAATAATATGCATTTTTCACTTCCTAAAATTAATGCCTGTCGAAATATAGCACCTCCTTCTGGAGGTTAGTACTCCTTTAAGCTATCCAAATAGATATGATGGATACTGCAACTCACATCATGCAAATAAAATTATGTCTTATGCAGATAAACATGTAGTGTCGGATACCCTTGATTGTCTACGTGCTGTTTACCCCCACACCCTGTAATTAGTTATCTTCAGACGTGAGACCAAGTGTGAATAATAAGAAAATCCGAAGATGCACTTCGAAGTCTAACTACATTCTAAAAATGAGATTTCAGGCACCACGCGACCAACTCAGCGCGTCTTGAAGTGCATTATACTGTTGTTGCAGAACTACATTTTATACCATATACAACATGTATAACAAAAGAAACAGTCAGCGCGCCAAAATGTCTGACAGCGGGTCTCTGACCATTGTGTCAAACTTGTTGCCATCCCATACTTATTCCAATCAGCCGAAACATCGCAGCTGGCTGAATTTGGCCATCACCCGAACTATATGTACTTGTACCGGTTGGTAACGAGGCATAAGGGTCTAGGGGCCCAAGATATAACAATGGGTAGCCAAGGTCACATATTATTGGAATAGCTAGTGAACTATGTGAAGCTGGTTAGAACCGGTTGCCGGCTGGACATATCCTTCGGTTTCGGCAACGTTAAAAGTCAGAACAGAAATATGGTGCGCAAGAAAAGAATTGCACACATATCCGACAACCTAACGTCTTAAAGATATCTATTTCTCTGTCTCACCCAGCGGTGGAACTGCGTCCCATCCGCCTGAGCAAGCTCACCGTCCACTTTTCTCGCTACAAACTTACTTCTAGCTAACTAAATGTCGATCCCGCAAAATCTTATTTACAACCGACTGTTGTGCAAAACTGTCGTCTTAGACCACATTTCAATAAATTTCCCTCCGTACTTACCGCATGGTGGAGATTCTTTACGGTGCTACCAAGTTTCCCACCCGACTCCGACAGAACCGTGGATCAACTGCCGACAACTGTTAACGCACTTCGTTCTATCACGAAGCCAAGATAATTATGGATAGCCTCCAAAACAGGCTTCTGTTGGGATTTTAATGTCGACGCATTTTGTTTGATAACAGCCTGTTTTTGTCACTGTCGTGTTTTGATGTCTCTAAATCTAAAATATGTACAGTAGAAATAAGAATTTATCGAGTTTTCAGCAAAAGTCAGCAGTAAGAAACGGCATTTCGAAGCCTGCTAAGTTGACTACCAAGTTTCCCACCCGTCTTCGACTGCCGACAATTATCGACGTACTTTGCTCTATCACGAAGCCGAAGTAATTAGATAATTATGGATAGCCTCTAAAACAGGCTTCTGTTGGGATATTTTATGTCGTCGTCTTCTGCCTGATAACGTCTCATTTTTGACACTACTGTGTTCTTATGGCTCTGTTAATGGATCATAATTTATAAGTACATCAAAAACAAAAAACAATGTGTTTTCAGTGAAAGATAATATACTATAAAGGCCCTGCAAAGTCTGCCAAGTCGACTGTCGAAGGACCTTAGGGCACTCATGGAATAGTTCGTTGCACCTGACGATGATGTCTTTTGACATCAAACAAAAGATAATGATAACATCAGATATTAACTTTTAACTTCCAGTTTGTTTGTCGCAAACAATACACTTTTCAGATTTACGGAACTTTGAAATGAGAACTTGTCATTCAACTGAATAAAAACGCCGTTATTTACGTGCAGTATAATTCAAGTAACTTGTGTTGGTGTGAATGAACCTCACCACAAAAACAGTACGCGAGTAACCTGACCAAGGTGACCCCTGCCCTTCGGCGCCGCCCGAAAAAGAATCTGTTTCTGTCTGGCCTTGCCCTGTCTTGTCTTGTCTTGTCCTGTCTTGACATGAAATATGTGAAATACGTCATCAACTAGCTAATGGCTCGTAAACCTTCAATTTTTCCAGCTAACCATTTTCTACCTGGAGACCATGACATGTAAACAACAGTCTTAAAAAAGTATATCGAGATCCATTTTATATGTTTGCTTCATGACCAGAGAAAGAGAAATTGTTCTACACGCTCGATTTCATGAAATGATTGCAGACCATGATGAGTAGAAGAGTCATCTCGTATGTTGTGTATCAACTACAATCGAAACAAGAGTTCCGAGATCTCATACCTCCATGAAATATGGACTTGCTTTGTCCTCATTAATTATGCAAATAACATCTACATTAACATAATACATGCATAGCGATGCAAACCTTTAAGTAACTTACACATGTTACGAGGTATAAAATTCCCATCATTCAGCAATAAGGATTCACAGAATTTTCACATTTATTATGCATATTAGGTCATCATTTGCATAATTGGTATCTGTTGATGTTCCGCCTGCCACAGATTAAATAGATTACATGTATAGCAGTACCATTATATGAAAAACTGTAATTATAGAATTTCCTTATTAATTATGGAAATTAAGTCCTAATTTGCATAATTTGCATTTAATCATGTACAACTGTCTCTCAGGTACCTACACACCAAAAATGATGAAAATACGTTGTTCCAATCTGGACTTATTGGCTTTAAAAGTTTTTACCAGAAACTAACCTGCAGTTCCAGAACAAGCTGCTAGGGGGCCAAACTTGCGCCACTTATTCCTGACAGGATAAGCTATCTGTCAACCAAAAAGTCAAGACCATAGCTTGTTCAGGACAAAGATACAAAAACCGGAAGTTCTGCTGCAGTACCAAGGTCATCCACCAGGAGGCCCATACTTGACCTTGACCTTTGTCTTTCCAAGACTTACCATCATACCAAATATCATCACAATCCATAAAGGCGTTCTGAAGTTATGCTGACTACAAAGTTGCGGAAACACAGACAGACACACAGACACACAGACAGACAGACACACAGACAGACACGCCAAAAACAATACCTCCATTTTTCATGGAGGTAAATATTATATATAAGTCCTGTATTCGGTCATCCCTCCACAGTGTGTGTGTGTGGGGGGGGCGTTTTTTTTGCATCATAGTCCCACAGCACGACTCCTATTTGACATATGACTATCTTCATGGCTTTGTATCCCCACCTTGAAATAGCGTCCTGCCAAGGTCACCTGGCTGTGAACTTAACCTGACATTCAGAGAGGGGTGTTTACCCTAGATGTTGTATACATCATGTAGAGACACTATACAGTGAAAAATCAACTTATACAAACGAGGAAGATACAAATACTTGGATTACGCAGGTTGTCGCATGGCACAAGTTTCTTTAATTTAATAGGCCCCTTCCAAGTACCAGGTAGACTGTAGAACAGAGTTCGTAGGTCAGAGGTCATATTGGGTCACCTGAACCACCTAACCAACTTGAACAAATCTACATGTGCTTGTAGACGATACAGGTATTTCATCTTTCGTGCTTTCCTTGGAAACAGTTTGCGTGGTAGCATACATGTACATTGTGTTTTCAGAACCGGTTGCCGGATGGACATATCCTTCGGTTTCGGCAACGTTAAATGTCAGAACAGATATATGTGCGCTAGATAGGAATTGCACACATATCCGACAACCTAACGTTTTAAGATATCTATTTCTCTGTCGCACTCAGCGGTGTAACTGCGTCCCAGCCGCCTGAGCAAGGTCACCGTCCACTTTTCTCGCCAAAAAAAAAAAACTTAGAATTCTCACGGCGGTCAGTCACTACGGTATTCTTTCCCATTGCTAGGGGGTTTGAAAACGTATCGGGTTACAAGACGCAAGTTTGGCCTGTTTTGGACTACCCTTAAAACACTTGAAAATAAATTTAAATAAATAGTATTGAAAGGTAAATTCCGCCAAAATAAAATGAAATTATCGTCTTTACATAGGTTTAATGTTAGTTGTTTACGTTAAATTACTAATTTTTAAAAATCTCGCTCAGAAAGACGTTTTTTTTTCGGGATTTGGAGCGCCAGTCCGAGTCATGTTTTAGGCAAACACCATTTAAGATTGGCTACGTATGTTATCCAAAATCCCCGATTTTTATATTTTTTGATGACTAGGAATAAGATCAAAAATCGTGTCTTAGGAATTTTTAGGAAATGACCAGAGAAAGAGAAATTGTTCTACACGCTCGATTTCATGAGATGATTGCAGACCATGATTTCTGATTTTAAGTATAGTTTTTGTCGACATAAATGTGAAAAAAACATCATTTGTTGACATTCAATTGCTCATAATTCAAAATCAAGGTCATTTTTCGAAAATCCCTAAGACACGATTCTGGACAAACCCATTACGGTCATTTTGAGCCGTCAATGAGATATTTTGGACTCTTCATGCTTCCAATAAACGAGTTTTGGACGCATGTCCCACTTCCTGATAGAGCCAGAACACCACCGCCAATAAATTTTCTTGTCAACAACTAAATGACGAAATATCCGACAGAAATTCTTCACAACTGACAGTTTGATGAAAGATATGTAAAACTGTCATCTGGAACCACATTCGCAATGAATATCCATTCGTACTCACCGCATGGTGGCGATTCTTTACGGTGCTACCAAGTTTCCCACCCGACTCCGACAGAACCGTGGATCAACTGCCGACAACTGTTAACGCACTTTGTTCTATCACGAAGCCAAGATAATTACGGATAGCCTCCAAAACAGGCTTCTGTTGGGATTTTAATATCGACGCATTTTGTTTGATAACAGCCTGTTTTTGTCACTGTCGTGTTTTGATGTCTCTAAATCTAAAATATGTACAGTAGAAATAAGAATTTATCGAGTTTTCAGCAAAAGTCAGCAGTCAGAAAACGCATTTCGAAGCCTGCTAAGTTGACTACCAAGTTTCCCACCCGTCTTCGACTGCCGACAATTATCGACGCACTTTGCTCTATCACGAAGCCGAAGTAATTACATAATTATATGGATAGCCTCTAAAACAGGCTTCTGTTGGGATATTTTATGTCGTCGTCTTCTGCCTGATAACGTCTCATTTTTGACACTACTGTGTTCTTATGGCTGTGTTAATGGATCATAATTAATAAGTACATCAAAAATAAAAACACAATGTGTTTTCAGTGAAAGATAATATTCTATAAAGGCCCTGCAAAGTCTGCCAAGTCGACTGCCAAAGGACCTTAGGGCACTCATGGAATAGTTCGTTGCACCTGAGAATAAGATTGATGATGTCTTTTGACATCAATCAAAAGATAACATCAAATATTAAGTTTTAACTTCCAGTGTGTTTGTCGCAAACAATACACTTTTCAGATTTACGGAACTTTGAAATGAGAACTTGTCATTTAACTGAATCGAAACGCAGTTATTTGCGTGCAGTATAATTCAAGTAACTTGTGATGGTGTGAATGAACCTCACCACAAAAACAGTACGCGAGAAACCTGACCAAAGTGACCCCTGCCCTCCGGCGCCGCCCGAAAAAGAATCTGTTCCTGTCTGGCCTTGCCCTATCTTGTCTTGTCTTGTTTTGTCTTGACATGAAATATGTGAAATACGTCATCAACTAGCTAATGGCTCGTAAACCTTGAATTTTTCCAGCTAACCATTTTCTATATGAAGACCATGACATGTAAACAACAGTCTTATAAAAAGTATATCGAGATCCATTTTATATGTTTGCTTCATGACCAGAGAAAGAGAAATTGTTCTACACGCTCGATTTCATGAGATGATTGAAGACCATAATGAGTCATCTCGTATGTTGTGTATCAACTACAATAGAAAACATTCAAAGCCCTGTATTCAGTCATCCCTCCACATAGTGTGTGTGGGGGGGGGGGTCGTTTTTTTTGCATCATAGTCCCACAGCACGACTCCTATTTGACATATGACTATCTTCATGGCTTTGTATCCCCACCTTGAAATAGCGTCCTGCCAAGGTCATCTGGCTGTGAACTTAACCTGACATTCAGAGAGGCATGTTTACCCTAGATGTTGTATACATCATGTACAGACACTATACAGTAAAAAAATCAACTTATACAAACGAGGAAGATACAAATACTTGGATTACGCAGGTTGTCGCATGGCACAAGTTTCTTTAATAGGCCCCTTGCAAATTCTATATAGACTGTAGAATAGAGTTCGTAGGTCAGAGGTCATATTGGGTCACCTGAACCACCTAACCAACTTGAACAAATCTACATGTGCTTGTAGACGACACAGGTATTTCATCTTTCGTGCTTTCCTTGGAAACAGTTTGCGTGGTAGCATACATGTACGTATACAGCGTGTGTCAGAACCGGTTGCCGGATGGACATATCCTTCGGTTTCGGCAACGTTAAATGTCAGAACAGATATATGTGCGCTAGATAGGAATTGCACACATATCCGACAACCTAACGTTTTAAGATATCTATTTCTCTGTCTCACTCAGCGGCGGAACTGCGTCCCAGCCGCCTGAGCAAGCTCACCGTCCACTTTTCTCGCAAAAAAAACTTAGAATTCTCACGGCGTCTGTCACTACGGTATTCTTTCCCAATGCTAGGGGGTGTTCGAAAACGTATCGGGTTACAAGACGCAAGTTTGGCCTGTTTTGGACTACCCGTAAACCACTTGAAAATAAATAAATAGTATTGAAGGGTAAATTCCGTCACAATAAAATGAAATTATCGTCTTTACATAGGTTTAATTTTAGTTGTTTATGTTAAATTACTAATTGTTAAAAATCTCGCTCAGAAAGACGATTTTTTTCGGGATTTGGAGCACCAGTACGAGACAGTCCGAGTCATGTTTTTAGGCAAACACCATTCAAGATTGGCTACCTATATTACCCAAAATCCCCGATTTTTATATTTTTTTGATGACTAGGAATAAGATCAAAAATCGTGTCTTAGGAATTTTTTAATTTCTGATTTTAAGTATAGTTTTTGTCGACATAAATGTGAAAAAAAACATCATTTGTTGACATTCAATTGCTTATAATTCAAAATCAAGGTCATTTTTCGAAAATCTCTAAGACACGATTCTGGACAAACCCATTACGGTTATTTTAAGCCGTCAATGACATATGTTGGACTCTCCATGCTTCCAATCTTAAACGAGTTTTGGACGCATGTCCCACTTCCTGATAGAGCCAGAACACCACAGCCAATAAATTTTCTTGTGAACAACCATGACTCTAAATGACGAAATATCCGACAGAAATTCTTCACAACTGACAGTTTGATGAAAGATATGTAAAACTGTCATCTGCAACCACATTTCAATGAATATCCATTCGTACTCACCGCATGGTGTTGATTCTTTACGGTGCTACCAAGTTTCCCACCCGTCTCCGGCAGAACCGTGGATCAACTGCCGACAATTGTTAACGCACTTTGTTCTATCACGAAGCCAAGATAATTATCGATAGCCTCCAAAACAGGCTTCTGTTGGGATTTTAATATCGACGCATTTTGTTTGATAACAGCCTGTTTCTGTCACTGTCGTGTTTTGATGTCTCTAAATTGGCAATATGTACAGTAGAAAATCAGAATTTATCGAGTTTTCAGCAAAAGTCAGCAGTAAGAAACGGCATTTCGAAGCCTGCTAAGTTGACTACCAAGTTTCCCACCCGTCTTCGACTGCCGACAATTATCGACGTACTTTGCTCTATCACGAAGCCGAAGTAATTAGATAATTATATATGGATAGCCTCTAAAACAGGCTTCTGTTGGGATATTTTATGTCGTCGTCTTCTGCCTGATAACGTCTCATTTTTGACACTACTGTGTTCTTATGGCTCTGCTAATGGATCATAATTTATAAGTACATCAAAAACAAAAAACAATGTGTTTTCAGTGAAAGATAATATTCTATAAAGGCCCTGCAAAGTCTGCCAAGTCGACTGTCAAAGGACCTTAGGGCATTCATGGAATAGTTCGTTGCACCTGACAATAATGATAACATCAGATATTAACTTTTAACTTCCAGCTTGTTTGTCGCAAACAATACACTTTTCAGATTTACGGAACTTTGAAAAGAGAACTTGTCATTCAACTGAATAAAAAACGCCGTTATTTACGTGCAGCATAATTCAAGTAACTTGTGTTGGTGTGAATGAACCTCACCACAAAAAAAGTACGCGAGTAACCTGACCAAAGTGACCCCTGCCCTCCGGCGCCGCCCGAAAAAGAATCTGTTCCTGTCTGGCCTTGCCCTATCTTGTCTTGTCTTGTCTTGACATGAAATATGTGAAATACGTCATCAACTAGCTTATGGCTCGTAAACCTTGAATTTTTCCAGCTAACCATTTTCTATATGGAGACCATGACATGTAAACAACAGTCTTAAAAAAAGTATATCGAGATCCATTTTATATGTTTGCTTCATGACCAGAGAAAGAGAAATTGTTCTACACGCTCGATTTCATGAGATGATTGAACACCATGATGAGTCATCTCTTATGTTGTGTATGAACTACAATAGAAAACATTCAAAGTCCTGTATTCAGTCATCCCTAGGCCTTCACATAGTGTGTGTGGGGGGGGTCGTTTTTTTTGCATCATAGTCCCACAGCACGACTCCTATTTGACATATGACTATCTTCATGGCTTTGTATCCCCACCTTGAAATAGCGTCCTGCCAAGGTCATCTGGCTGTGAACTTAACCTGACATTCAGAGAGGGGTGTTTACCCTAGATGTTGTATACATCATGTAGAGACACTATACAGTGAGAAAACAACTTATACAAACGAGGAAGATACAAATACTTGGATTACGCAGGTTGTCGCATGGCACAAGTTTCTTTAATAGGCCCCTTGCAAATTCTATATAGACTGTAGAATAGAGTTCGTAGGTCAGAGGTCGTATTGGGTCACCCGAACCACCTAACCAACTTGAACAAATCTACATGTGCTTGTAGATGACACAGGTATTTCATCTTTCGTGCTTTCCTTGGAAACAGTTTGCGTGGTAGCATACATGTACATTGTGTGTCAGAACCGGTTGCCGGATGGACATATCCTTCGGTTTCGGCAACGTTAAATGTCAGAACAGATATATGTGTGCTAGATAGGAAGTGCACACATATCCGATATCTATTTCTCTGTCTCACTCAGCGGCGGAACTGCGTACAAGCCGCCTGAGCAAGCTCACCGTCCACTTTTCTCGCCAAAAAAACTTAGTATTCTCACGGCGGTCTGTGTCACTACGGTATTCTTTCCCATTGCTAGGGGGGTTCGAAAACGTATCGGGTTACAAGACGCAAGTTTGGCCTGTTTTGGACTACCCTTAAAACACTTGAAAATAAATAAATAGTATTGAAGGGTAAATTCCGTCAAAATAAAATGAAATTATCGTCTTTACATAGGCTTAATGTTAGTTGTTTACGTTAAATTACTAATTTTTAAAAATCTCGCCCCGAAAGACGATTTTTTTTCGGGATTTGGAGCGCCAGTCCGAGCGAGACAGTCCGAGTCATGTTTTTAGGCAAACACCATTTAAGATTGGCTACGTATATTATCCAAAATCCCCGATTTTTACATTTTTGATGACTAGGAATAAGATCAAAAATCGTGTCTTAGGAATTTTTTATTTCTGATTTTAAGTATAGTTTTTGTCGACATAAATGTGAAAAG